AACTTGTAGTTTTCACTTCTCTTCTACAAGCTCCAAAAATCCTAGAAAATCTAATAACCTTAGCCCAAAAGCTATAGGTCTCCTTCTATTTCCCTCAACCTTAAAGTTATAGGGAATTTCTACTCTCCCTAGCTCCAAACCTAAGGAGAATTTTCCAATCTCTTAGCCTCAAACTTGGGTATTTCGCCATCTTCATTCACTTATCTCCAATCAAATGAATGATATTTGATCATAGGCTTATAAGCCTTAGCTCTTCCTATTGGACCCAAATCTAATAGGAGCTTCTTCCTCATTGTCTTAAAAGCCAAAGTCTATCTATTTGGCCCAAACCAAATAGATAAACTATCTACTTAGACTCAAACTCTAAGTAAACTTTCACTTAAAAAAATAAGTCTCTTTCATGACATTTAAAATAGAACTTTTAGATGTCCTTTAGGAGTTTGCTTCTATTGAAATTCACCTCATTCAATTAAATAAGTCAACTATTAGGCAAGTTTGTCTTACCCTATTAGACAGACATCTATTATCCAAACATTAAGAGAACCCTAAAAAAACTCCTACTAGAATTTAGGTTCCTTTAATAAATCATTCCACTCTAAAAGGTGAAATATCTACATCAATGGATCCTAGGATTTCATAAATAACATGCTTGCCTCAAAGCAATTAGTGGTTGCTTTATGGGTTCTTTATAAACCTCCTAAATATGAAATCTTAAAAAATAAATAAAAGCTTTAGGTCATAAATAACTTAAAGTGAAACTAACCCTTGGATTAAAATTGAATATACCCAATTCCTCAATAAAACAAAACACCACTTGTACTGTGACATACCACACAACCAACACACACTTAAATGCACAGTCCCTAGGGCATGCTAGGACTAAAATTTTTATTTTTCTATGCATGTGTTTATTGTGTTTGGTATGATGCATACTTGATTGTCTATGTTGTCGGCGCTTGCGCTTAAATGGTTATGATAGAATACATGCTCTTTTTTGCAATTAGTCATGACCAAGAAGGGGTAAATAAATCATGATTATAAAATTATTCTTTACATGCAGTGCTCCCCCCCCCCCCCTTTCAAAAAAAAAAGAGGCATGATCAATATGATAGTAACAAGTCTTGGCACTTCAAGCATCATGCAATTTTGTTATGTTTCTTTGGCTTACATATTAAACACCTTCATAATCCCCCTATTTTGCATATCTAAGTATTTTACTTTTCAAATGTATTTGATAGACATCATAGACTTAAGAAGTTTGTTTAACCCTGTGGGATACAGTTACATGATAACCAAAAGGATGAATTTCCTAAATGAAACCCTGGATGCATTTAGAAGTCAAAGCTTGAAGACTCCACAGGTCGAGTTTGAAATTATTATTGGGTTGTATAAGGCAACTTAGTTGCCATTTTTATAGTATTTCCTACATTATAATACTTTCCTGCTTGACTGATTTTACACATACACATATTTGATTGTTTAATGGGTATGCATTAAAAATACATGTTATTTCCAAGATTTTTTCACTTGTTTTGATTGGGAGTGACTTGGACTTGTTATATGATAGGCTCTTAGGATAAAACTAATTTTTATACCAATTAACAAATAAGCAATCTAAAATCAATCATATTGTTATACGATAGGCTCTTAGGATAAAACTAATTTTTATACCAATTAACAAATAAGCAATCTAAAATCAATCATAGAATCGCTAATTTTTTAAATAAAAAAATTGCATGGCTCACTCTAATGATCCAAGTTTTCAAAATAAAATGATCATGTTATTGACATATTTTTATGCCGACTCGACTCAAATCGAGTCAAATCAAACCAAATAGAGTCAAACCAAACCCAATTTGCTAAATTGAACCCCGTTGGACCAAAATCAACTCAATTCTAGTTGATTCAAGTCCAATTTTATAAACTTGACTTGATTGAACCAAATCGAACTCAAATCGACCCAAATTGATCCAAATCGAGTCTGATTTGGGCTCATTTTAAGCCCAATAGGTCTAATCTCAACTCATTTGACTTAGCAAAACAGTAAATCAAATCCAATTATTGAAATGCAAAGAGCAACTAGCTACATTTCCTTTCTCCCTTTTCCTGCTGATTTCTATAGCTGTAGCAGAGATTTGAGTGCAGGAGATCTTATCGAGCAGTGAGCTTCATTTCGAGTATAAGGAAAGTTTAGAGGGCAGGGAGGCTTCCATTCCATTTGCGTTTTTCATCTGCAAGCATGCGTCCAGATAGATCAGAGAGAGGGCATTCGGCTGATCCTCCTTATTTATGTCCGTCAACCCAGCCAAGAGAGGAAGATCAGAGCCTTCTCACGTGCGACTTCGCGTATACTTGCGTGTGGATCGAGCAGGATACCGCCGCTTGGGAGTTGATTCATGTAGTTAGAGGAGTCGAGGGAGCAGACGGGACACCCTTGCGCATGAGGCTTTTCAGGATCAAGAGGGTGGCTAAACCGAGTGTTGAAACCTGTGAACGATAGGCTGAAGCAGGGACTTAGTGGAGAAGTTATTGTCCGTTGTTGTTCTTGCAAACAGAGGGAAGACTTCTGTCTACTCTTTCCTTGCCCAACTGAGAGTATTTGTTGTTGTTCTTCGCCACCTCATTCAAAATCCCAAACAAAGAACTGTTGTTCTTTTCTACTGCAGTTAGGAGAAGGTAGAAGGCTCTCCCTATCTTCCAAATCATCTCTGGCAAACTCGTGGTAGCAAGATCAACTTCTAGGAGCATTCAAATAGCAAAATGGCATTCACAACGGCTTGGACAACAACTCATTCCTTCATTCCTCTTTAATCTAGCATTTGCAAGGCCTTAGCATTTTCGGTTGCGTCGTGACTTGACCCAGTGAGGTATAATTCCTCAAAACTTAGAAAATCCCTACTATTGATGTGTGGTTGATGCTCTCGAGCCCCTTAGGATCTTAAAAACCCTTAAAATTAATTTCCAAACTCCAAACAAAACCTTATGAAATAGCATCATACTGCATTCCAACACCAACACCTACAATCAAGTCCTAGGTTAGGTGATATTATTTGATGCCGAGTTGAATATTGAGGTGCAAATTCTTTCCAAATTTTACATGCTATGTTTCTTTTCCCAAAATCACGTGTCGGCATTAGAGTGTTGTACGTGGATGAGCATCCAATAAGGAGTCAATGATGGCATAGCTTTGAAAATCCCAAAAGAAGTAATACTCACATGTTTTGGAGATCGAGTTCCAAGTCATCAATAACTAGATGGAGTTTGAAGCCTAAATAGCGGGATTGAAGTTTGCAGCCAACATCAGAGAGAAGCAGTTGATTGTCTGTTCCGACTCGCAGCTAGTGGTAAATCAAGTTAATGGGCAATACAAAGTGTGAGATGAAACCCTAGAAAGATACATCTTTAAAGTGAAGGCAAATAGTACTTGCGAATCAGGCCACTCAAGAAGATTGTTGAAGTGGGTTATCAATCTAAGTGAGTTCCAAACAACTTACATCTCGAAGACGAACTTCAAAGCTAAGAACCTCATTGAATTCTCCCATCACGATTGTAATAACATGTATTTTGATGCAAACAAATATTTTTTTAAGGAGTTAATTTAAGTCCAAATCATAAATTGTCTTCCTCATAAGATAGATATTATTGTGTTTTAATTCTAATAATTATTCTATAATTTTTGGTACAATAAATAACACTTGGTATCATATCTGGAAGGATTGTTAGAAATGGAATTTTTCTCTTCATGGGCAATATCTTAAATATCTTGCTCTTCTATTTTGGATCATTGGTTCTCGCCATTTCTCTGAAAGGAATAGTTTGTTTGACACATTAATTCCCATCAAATAAATTTGAAAGAGGATGTACCCTGGTGTATACTTTTTTGTTGATGATATTCGTCTTGTTGAGAAGACTAGAGAGGGAGTTGAAGGAAAACTTGAATTATGATGAAGGTCAACTTTACTGTCTAAAAATTTTTGTTTGAGTAGATCTAAAACTAAATGGACGGAGTGTAATTTTAATAGTAAGAGTATAGTGGGGGATTGTAACTATGGGCGATCAAGTCATAAAAAAGATTATACGTTTTAGATACCTTAGGCTTATCGTTCAAAGTGATGATGAAATAGATGGGGATATTATTAGTAGAATTCAAGTTGGTTGGTTGAAGTAGAGGAATGCATCGGGCTAGTGCGTGATAGAAAAGTATCCCTCAAACATAAGGGAAAATTCTATAGGATGGTGGTGAGACTTGTAATGCTTTATAGTGCAGAATGTTGACCATTATAAGAGAAGAATAAAATTAAGTTAAGTGTTATTGGGATGAGGATGCTCAGGTAGATGAGTGGCATTAGAAAAAGAATGTGAAATGCATATATACGTGAAAATGTTGGAGTAGCTCCAGTGTCTGATAAGATTAGAGAGTCTCCTTAAATGGTTTGGTCACATAAAATATAAACCGTCCGATTACCCGATCAGGCAAGTAGATATATTAAATATGGCCTATATTAAGAGGGGTTGAGATAGACCTAAAAATACTTGGTTACAGAAATTATCTTTCTTTGTTAGATTTAAATGAGAATTTGACTCTAATAAGGACACAATGAAGAAAAAGAATTTATATAGCCGACTCCAACTAATGGGATAAAGGCTTGATGTTGTTGTTCTAAATTTCATCATCAGTGCAGCCCAAAGTATCACTTGGTGCATAGAATTCATATTCACAAAGTTATTCATTGAAACCAAAGCTATAAGAGCAAATATCTTTTAAAAGTTTGAGATCACATACAAATTTCCACATTGCAACCAAAAAGTCCGGAAAAAAATCAATCCACTAAATTCACGCACAACAACATAAGTCTGCTTGGATCTCAGTCATTGCCAACAACAACTTCAAATACCAAAAACAATGTGGCCCTCAAGTAACCAGATCTACTATCCTAGGAAACATTAATCATCAAACGTAAGATGAAAAAGAACAAAGAATAAAAATGTAGGTTCCAAACCTTGTAGAAAGCACGGACACCCTCTTGAGCGAGCATGTTCTTCGTAACCTGAAGCGCGGATCCTTGTCCCAGCTGGATTCTAACCTGTAAACAAAAACAAAAACAGTTCAACACTCAAAATACTCGCCCGCTGCAGATCTCAGATCCTTCCCACGAAAACCAAACCGTAAAGCCTAATAGCTCCAACATAAAGTACAAGATCTCGAAAGAAACCAAACAAAAGATCGCGTCCGTACCTTGACCATATCGATGGGCTGGATGACGCAGGTGGCGAGCATGCCGGACGCTCCGCCATTGACGAAAGGCTTAACAGTACTCCAGACGCCAGACTGACTCTTGGGCTTCGCTTCACCCATTTCCTCCTGCTTCGAGAGATGGAGAAGTAGCGCCGGGGAGGTGAATGGCAGTGACTGAGCCGGCGGAGTCCTCAAAGAGACCGATACCTAAACCAAATTATAAATATGGGCAGCGGGGAAGAATGGTGGCTCATAAATTGGACCCCCAAGGCAGTTGTTAATGGGGCCCGCGAGCTTCGGGGCGAGCTCCTGTTAGTGAAGGGAGGCAACTTGAATCTTGATTTGCATCGATACGATAAGTAAATTTTCACACCCCAAAAAAATATGGGATGAGCGCGATTTCGGCTGAATTGGATGAGGTTGCAAGTCGAGTTATCAAAGGTAATGCGGATAAAGAGACTTCGATGTGTGTTTTGGGGCAAATTAGCGGGTCACCGGACGCGGAGGTAGGTCCGGATATTAATAAAATATTATTTTAAATTAAGCGCATCAAAAGGACATGTAAAATGCAGGTAAAGTGCAGGTAAAACGCAGGTCAAAGCGCAGTCAAAAGCATAGGTAAAGTGCAGTCAAAGCGCAACTAAAGCGCAAGTCAAAAGCGCAGGTGACGTGGAAAATTTTTATTGGATGTCCGAATCGATTATCCGCGTCAGGTGACCGGATGCAATAATTTGTCGTGTTTTGGGCTTTGTATTTTTTATTTTTATTGTTTGGAAAAATTGAGCGCAAAGTCTTTTTTCTATTAAATAAGAATTTTTATAACGTAGCTTATCTTAGTCTACTGGTTGAGAGCTTAGGCTATCAAATAAGATGACTTAGATGCGAATCTTATGTGTGCAATGTGTGTGAGTCTGCATTAATTGGCCTAAATATCCCAAAAAAAAGAACTTGTTACAAGTGTAAGTAAAGGAAAAGTAAACTAACCTAAAAGAAGGAGTTACATAGGGGAGAAAGTGAGAGAATAACAAAAAGATGAGACAGCTTATACATATGTGTAGAACAAAATACACTTCAAAAAATCATAAGCAACAAAAAACCTTCAAACACTTCAAAAAAATAGTAGTAGTAGAGTGGCAAAAAGCGGGCTCAGTGAACTCCTAAGAGAAGGCATCCATCCCCTGGTTGCAGAAGAAAGCCAAGAAACCAAAATAGCATAGAAATAGTTGGATTACACACAAAAACAAACAATCCACTGCCATCCAAAGGGAGAAATTGAGCAATTATTTCATCCTTGCCCTCAAAATATTCTCGGCAAGAAAAGTAAAAGAGTCCTGAATCATGCAGGAATCTGTTCAAATAGCCCTTCAGTAAAAGATGCTGAGAAGAAGCAGAGCATACAAGAAGGAGGCCCATCAAATCATGTCCACGAAAGCATAACCATTTTTCCATCACATAATTTTGGAAAAAATAGCACTCTTAATTTTCTGGTAGATAGTAGAAGACGAGGCATGAGAGTTTCCAAATTTCCTATCATTTCTTTCACTCCAAAGGTAGTTGACCAAGCAGCATGTGATTAAATATAGAAAGGCATGATATTTTTAACTGTAGATTCTATCTAAATGATGCTATTAAAAACCTGGAGAATATTTAGCCTCAAGAGGTGCCTTCTCAAGCTAGGGTGCAGTTTAGAAATAAAAGTGAAAGAGTAGTTACACTCAAAGAAAAGATGAGCAGTAGTCTCATTGAAATTATAACATCAAGCATATCTTATTGAGATTGTTTCAACTTAGTTTTTCGATTGTTGATATTCTTGCAACATGTATGTTTTTTATGATTCCAAATACTATTATTTTAATTATAATTTCTCCTAACATATTTTGAATGTATTATTTTTGTTGGTTGTGTGTATTAATATTTCAGGGAAATCATACTCTAGATTATTAAAGACTTCAAATCAGATTAGATTAGGGTTCATTATAAATGAAGTGTGTATTTTTTATGTTATTGAGTCTGAGAGAGTGTGATTGTAATTGAGAAACTGAGCACCCACACTCTGGGGGGCTGTTTAAAATTTGTAATTTTTTAAACTAATCGTACTGTACGAAGTCATTTTGTACGGGACGATTTGTTAAGTTATTTTCCACTACGAGCAGTCAAACGAACTACATGTAGAAAATTTTTCTAAGTACGGATAGTACTATACAAAGGTTCCTTCATTCAAACGATGTCTAGAGTATGAATAGGCAGGTCCCTTTTCGTCCCGATGAATTCAAAGTTTTTTTATACTAATCGTACTATACAATAACATATTCGTATAGACGACGTACAGAGTACGAAATGGACAGGTCCCTTTTCATCCTGACGAATCCCAAAGTTTTCTAAACTAATAGTACTATACAATATCATGTTCATACATATGATGTCCAGAGTACAATTTTGAAGGGTCACTTTTCATCCCGATGAATGCAAAATTTTTCTGAATGGATCGTATTGTATGATATCATATTCATACAGACGACATCTAGAGTATGAAAATGTGGGATATATTTTTGTCCCAACGAAGTTAAAAAAATTTCTAATTATTTATACAGTACGAACTTGGTTCATCGTGTATGAAAATATTTCATTTCTAAGTATTTTATTCGTATTGTGCGAATGTATTTTTATATTGTACGAATTCTGCAGTATATCCTTCATTTGTCTTGGAGTTAAACATGAAAATTCTATATTTTTATAAATTTTCATACTGTACGTTGAGGTCATCATCCATACGAACTGTATAAATTCATTTGTACGCATGTGGATGGTCATCTGGTTAGAATCAATTATTATAATTGATCGTACGTATAAAACTTTATTTCATCTGCACAATCCACGTGTTATTTTCTTTGGGGGACGAACCTAATCGTCATTAAAATTATCTTAAATAACTCATCATCCCGGACAAACACATATTTGTCTGTACAATCGTATGGTTAAAAGTCTGTACAAAAGGACGCCTCATAAATTATGTGTTTATGAAAAGTCATTTTGTTTTGGACGTAATCATTCGTCCATACAATTTTTTTCGTCCCGTACAATCTCAAGATCATACGTACGAAGCCATTTTTGTACTATACGTTGGGTCATTTTTCTTTAAATAAGAGGGTTATTTATTTCATTTCTATTCACTTCGAAACCCTTCTTGAATCCTTCTAGAGGCACCAACTTAGGAATGGCAAGTTTTAGCAAGCGCTCTAGAGTAACTAAGGGATCATCATCTAGGGGTGGTGATGACAACTTCTTGTCAAGAGATAATGAGGACTCTTTCTATAGGTATATAGCCTCTAAAATCACTCCTTCAAGACTCCTCATTCAATATGAAATCCACTTTTTTGTTATGTCTATCTTTGCCTCAACCCAGTTCTCTTTCATTTTAACTTTGATCTACGCTTATCACATAGAGACTTTTCACTATTTCCTAACAAATATGAGGTTTAGTGAGGATAAGAGTAGGGTAACATCATTTGTCAAAAAATAGCCTGTAGAAATCACTAATGAATATCTAGGAGCTTTTCTTCACTTAAGTACTTGTGGGACTATAGCACACATTTTAACTTCTAAATCAGATTATGGCTGGTCTGAGATTAATAAAACTCTTAGAGGTGTAACTCAAGTCTGTCACTTAGCTAGAGTCTACACTTTGAATTAAAATGTCAAGGTCATTCAGCATGTCTTAAGAACTTCATTCATTCTTAAGGTTGGTGATCACATAAATATGACTCATCTTCTATCAACTGTTACTTATTTAATTATGACTGGACAAACTATTGATGAGGCCCAACTCATCTTGTATTATATTCATAACCTTTCTGAAATTGCGCTTCCTCATCATAAGAGAAATCTTTTGAAATTGATCATTAAAATTGGATTTAAATTATTTTGCTTTTCAAATTAATTTCAATATGAAAATCCTATCTTTTAAAAATTTTAAATTAAATTTTAACTAGATTTGGATAAGGAAATTAATTTCATGTCTTTAGGTAAAATATAACTAGAACATAATTATTACAATTTTGATATCTTTCTATTTTTTATTTTCTTATTCAATATGTTTATTTTTTGTTATTAGTGACATTTGATTTTAGATAACTAATTTTGGAAAGACTTAAAAAGCAAATCAAAATAAGATGTACAATGTGTGCAAAAAAAAATGAGCAATGGTTTTTTTTTTTTTTTTTGAAGAATGCAGAAATAACAAAGGAAAAAAAAAAAAAAAAGAAACCAAGATACAAGCTAGAAAAAAGGCTCACATTCCTACTTAAATAAAGAACAAAGTGAAGGAGGAATGTTAGCAAAAGAAGAACTATCAAACCAAAAATTGTTATCTAAAGCCAAAGTAGCACACATATCGGCTACCTTATTACAACCTCTATCTATATGATGAAGAATTACCTTATTGAAATCGGCCAAGAAGAGAAATTCTTCCTCCGTCCGATTATAGTATTGTCAATTCTTATTCAAAGAATTTTGAATGACATTTATAACATTGATGTTATCCCCTCCAATTATAAATCCTTTACACTCAAGCATCCATGGTTGAAGAAATTTTTTAACGGTCATCACAGCCTCTAGCTCAAGGCGAGCTATATCCCAATGCGTTCTTCTTTCTCCAAAAGCAATCAGTAGTCTTCCATTATGATCCCGGAAACAACCACCAATTCCAGCATTATAAGAAGTTAGAAGAGCTGCATCAACATTAATTTTAATCCAACCAAACGGCAGAGGGTGCCAAAAATTTTGAGACTCCCTAAGGAGATTAGCACCCCAGCTATCTATGATTGGACTAGCATATTTGAAGGAAGAAGACAGCACATTAGATGCAGTAATTGCTACAAATTTTACAAAATTTCCCTGATTTACCTCATTTCTATTCTTCCAGTTAAAGTATACTGAAGTATAGTATAAATTGGAAATATTATGAGCAATACTAACAAGCTTTTTCAGCTCACAAACCTACTTCCAGAGAATTGAAAATTGGGATAAAATCCCCACTGTTGAATCATTCGAAGTATCTCATGAAGATGAATACATCGGACAGCTATATGCTCCAAGTTTTCAGTTTCCAGACATCCCCTAGCACAACGATCCATATCTTTAAGCTTCCTATATTTTAGGAATTCATTTGTTGGGATAGCTTCTTTACTCAATCTCCATCAAAACAATTCAATCCTAGCTGGAAGTCTCAATTTTTTTAACCAAGTATAAAAGCCCATATCATCAATAGAACTGTTGAATTTGCTGATAGCCTCCACTGCTCTTGCAGTAATAGACCTGCCGGAGAAATAACAGATTTCTTCCAGATAATCTTCATTTGCTCTTCTATCAACCAAAATCTGAAGGATGGTATTAATAGTATCATT